TTATAAAAGTACGGTGCTAGTATTCACCTTAAGTATATTTTGAGGGACTGAATTTTACAAAAAAAAAAAACAAAATTCTGTTTGAAAATAATCATAGGAAAACACTCACTTTCTTTTCTTTGAAAACAATTTAGGGTAATTAAATACCATCCTACTGTACTACATATTTGTGTTGGAAATAACGACCACCTACCAAGGGTTTTTCTATTGAAGTAATATTTTTATTAGTAAGTGATAACGAAATGTCTGGAAACAATTTACCAGATGGCAGAAGAGACATTAATACGTCGAATCTGTCATGTCATAAAGAATTTAGTTTTTGAAAATGTACTTTAACACATTTGCTTTTTTTTATAAGAGCCCACGAATGAGCACATTCAAAAAAATTGTTTTTTAATTGTTATAATCAAAAATGTTATTGAAAGTGACGAAACGATATTAATGTTTCCTTGTTTATACAAGAGAATACAAAATTTTGCAATAGTTTAAAACAATATAAAAAGGAAATTATAATTCCTGTATTATGATGTAACGTTTAACGTATATACCTATAAAACTTGTGGGAAATAAACACAATTCAATTATTATTATTATCATCGTTAATTGTGAATTTATCAACGCTAGTTTTTTTTTAATAAGAATTTACAATAGACCAAATATTTTTTGTAATTTAAAAACCTTTTTTTTAATCAAAATAAAAATACTTTGATTTAAAACTTTAAAAATTTATAAAATGTTTTAAAAGAAAAATAATAACATTTTAAAAGCTAAAATTAATGATATTAATTCATTCATTCATTCAACCCATCTGATCAAGCTTGGGATGATACTAATTTTATCAAACTGTTACTACAGGTGTGCCACAAGTATTTCTCTTGTGCCTTGTATTGATTAGGTTGTATAATATTCAAAAGTCACTACGAATGCTAATTTTATAAGATGTGTTGATGATATTACGTAGTTATGATTCAATTTCGTTCAACCTGCATCGTACAATTTATTATTTCAACATTAAATTTTATCAAATATTGATGCCTCATTTTTATTCAAAACTACAGCTGTCAGTATTTTCAAACAATATCTGAATTTAGTCCATATCTTTATACAACTAATGAGATAAAGATTTCGCAAAACAACACAGTTTAATAGATATATAAATGCGTTAACTGTTTATTTGAAGAAAAAAAAATGAATAATGATAAATTTGTCGATTTATTAAACCTTGGATTATAGAATTATGATCGGAATACCTTTCACTATCCTATACTACACCAAAAGTAGGTCTAAAGGTACATATTGCAGAGTTTAAAGAATGTTAAAAAAGTAGAGGTTTTTTTAATTATCCAACAGCGTATAATTTGCTACGTTTTTACAGGTGTCTACCTTGAAGTTTTAGTTTAATTATTGTTTAAGTGTCTGGTTAATTAAGATAGTCGTCCAAACCTGCAGTAATATCAACCATATTTGTTTAAAAAACTAACCGAACTGTCATTCGCCCCAATCAGGTGAACTGCTAATTTATTAGCTATTATAGGTGCTTCAAAATTTTGGTAAACTAGAGTCTTAAATATTTTAAAATGGTACAATTTAAAGGCAACTGCAACCGGAACCGTGTCCATCTGGCAGTACCCAAATTTGACGTTATTATATAATAAATTTCTATAATAATAAATAATACAATAATATTCATTAATAGGGAGTGAATTAAGGAGAGTATTATTACCTATATTGACTGATAAAAATTACCAATAACAGGAAAAGCAAATTCATAGAAGTAAAATCAAGTAAATATTTTTATACATGTTAAAATTCTATAACATAAATTGGATATTTGATAAAAGCTTTTGTAGATTCATATGGTTCGGCGCGCATATTAAATAATAACCACGACAATATTGACCTAAATAGTTGAACGAAAATAAACTCATTAGAAATCTTAAGGCATGCCCACTAATAATTGTTACTGAATTAATTTTCTTACGACAACACGTAATGAACAAAAGAAAAATTTACATTTTAAATTTGGTTGCTCTGATATAATATTTTTTTCTTCTTACTTTTGAATTTTTTAAGATTGTCATCTTTATTTATAGTATTAGTATTATTATATAGAACATATTTTTTTCTTCTTTCCTTATCGTACCTTTGTAATTAAGTAATTAAGATTTAATTAACGAGAATTTGGGGGAAGTGAATTGGTTTGCTGCAGAATGATCAGAATGAGACAAGAAGTTGTATATTTTGTTATTTTTGTAACAACCGTGAATAACAAAATAGCGAATTTTGTCAAAGTTGTTATACAGTTGCTATAAAGTGAGTAGATAACAAGTTGTTAAAAATTTGCCAGATAACAACTGTAATTACTAGTGATGCCGCGAGATAAAACGAGACGACAGAGGCCACTCTCTCGTAGGGCGAGAGAAAACTGTTCTCTCGTCTCGACGAGATGGCGCTTCTCTCGCTCGAGAGAGCAGAGCCTTTCTCTTGTCTTGTTTCATCTCGTTTTTCTCGTGATAAAACAATATCAAATTTAAATTTGAAAAAGACAAAACATGAAAAAAAGGGTAACATTTTTAAGACAAAAACAAAGAATTTTTCAAGTGATTTGCGCATTAGTACCCAAATTTGGCAATAAGAAAAACTTATGTCTCTCTGTCTGTCCGTCTGTCACAGTCGTTTTACAATTGAAATTTGAAGTAATAAGTGGCCCAGATTAGATGTTAACTAAAAACGAAAATACTTTGTCTTGTAAGTCAGTTGGGGAGGTATATAATGGGTATATATTTTCTAAAATAATTCATTGTCCCAAGAATATCATCTGAGCTACTAAAATAAAATCTATAAATTAGTCTTTTAAATAATGTATTTAACAAATGTTTCACAATATATTAATTTACATGTTTTCTGACTTATCTGTGAAAGGAACGTGGAGAAAATACTTAGTTTTCCTTACAAATTTTTCTTGATTTTGTTGTTGCTGTTGTAGTGATGTGATAATTTTTTGCAGAAAGATGTCTTCATTTTAACTTGAAATAAATAAAGAATTTTTTATTCTATACAAATATATAAAATATATTAAATTACATTATTTAACGTAATATTTTGCAATTTTTATAATACTTACGAATGCTTTTATTCGTAACTTACGCTATAAGTTCAAGAGAATGAAATTTAAAATTATTTCGGTCTGTATTGGTTGAAACTCAAAAAGATCTTATATAATTAATATTTAATAAATTAACAGAGTAAACAGAACCGTTGTATTTTATTACTCTCCGCCTTTGATTGATCCGCATTTTATAATGCTGCCCTTGAATAATGTAATAATTTGTTGTTGTCAACTTTGAGATATATTACATGATACGAGTTCGCGCATGACGTATTGTGGTGTGGAATATGGATGATTGGCCATGAGCTGATTAAAATTTATTTTTGCGCGCTGTTTTCGATCACCACAATATATCGCCATGATGTACTATCAATCGGCGTAATATAATGTTCTTTTTGTAGTATCATAGATATATATATATATTACAAGTTTTCTTTTTTTCACTTCAACGATCTTATAAACATACTAGGATGAGGTATACGAATTCATAAATTCTTGCAAGGTTATGAGTTTCTGCTTTTAAAATAACTGAATAATATAATAGAATAAACAAACGAAGTTGCGTGATATTTTATGAACCCTGACATCGGATATTTAAAAATATTTGAATTAAATCAAAGACAATGACAAACGAGGACAAAAAATGTATTCTGTTGTTCGATGAGATGGAAATTAAGAAAACTATCGAATATAATAAAAAATTAGATGTCATTGAAGGGTTTGAAGACTTTGAGAACAAAAGAAAGGTTTAACACATATTCGAGACTCAGGTTTGGAACCTATAGGGACAGTGTGTGATTTATCTACAGTTAACCAAAAATTCTATAGATCTTGTCTGTAGATCTTTGGGCATTACTGTAGACAACCCTAAATTTGCCATAGTAGAAAACAATTACTTTGCATCTTTTATGTGCCTGACCTAGTAAAATGCGTTCGAAATAAGTTTTTACAAGATTATTTTATCTTCAATGGCAAATTTATCAGATTTGCTGATGTTAAATAGGTTTATGAACTGGACCAACGAAGCAAATCTGGAAGATCTTTATTAAAAATCACTTCAAAACCCTTTTCCCAAATGCATTTGAAAAAATGAGCGTAAAGCTCGCTACTCAGTTATTTAACCATTCTGTAGCTACAACCATTAAAACGGCAACAAGAACTGGAGAATTAGTATCCATAACGGCTGAAAATACAGCCTATTTTATTGAAACAATGAACAACCTATTTGATGGCTTAAATAGTTCTTCTGCATATAGTTCGAAACCTTGTAACCTAGCATTGACTTACTAGATATATTTATACAATGGTATTATTGTTATTATTATTATCCCAAATAGGTACCTGCGACCCTACTTAGACAGCTAAATATTGAATGCCCCACAAACGAGAAAAACCTTGCTATAGAATTGATAGATTGCCTAACAATATATTTCTTCAAATGCGCGGTGATGACAAATCTTTTCCACCAGACCAACTTAATTGAGAACATAAAATAAAAGTATGGTTGCGTATATTATTTTGCTGAACAACTTTTGCGATATAATGGACAAAATATGGAAGTTAAAGAGTGTAGCTACATCTACGTAGGAAATAATGAACTAAAATTCAAATTTAATTCATGTTATCAAAAAACAAAAGTGCTGTGACATCCTTAAAAGCACCCAAGGATTCACACTGTTAATTATTAAACACTCTGTATATAAAAAATGTTTTGTAGTTTACTCACTTAAATTTTACAGCCATACCATGTCAAATGTATAGAAATACATGATTTAAATCTTATCGCATCGAACCACCCTGCTTAATCCTAGTTGGGGTTATAACTCGTTATATGCATAACTCACACTAAATGACCAAATTCTCTAAAAACAACCCTCCTATTTCTTATCCCTAGATACTAGATACCGCGGCTACTAAATATTAAAAAAGAGAAGGGGCAGCTCATTCGCGTGTGTATCGATAGTCTCACCGACCCGAGTTCCGAGTTTGCTTGGCTGTGTTTTCCATCCACAATAATTCTCAGAACGAACAAAAGTTCCACAGTAGATAGACAGTCAACTATACACACACACAACAAACAGATGCTGTTGCGGCTATTATTAACTATACTAAAGAACTCGAGGGCGACGATGATGATCCTAGTGAAGAAGACTGAAAGTTGAAAGCAACAAGTGAAGCGATATACTCGCAACTTTGTGTGTTATTAATCATGTATAAATGAAGAATGTGACCTGGAATTAATACCTTTATACCCACCTAACCTAGTCAGTCAGTCGTTCAAAGTGATCGTTAATTATATACCCTTGAAACTCGGGAGTGCTTTTATTATTTGTTTATCATTGAAAACTGTTCTAGTTTTTTTTTTCGCGATGTTCGTGAAATATTTGTGGTAATTTTTTCTCTATACGTATCCAGTCATTATGTAAACACACGATTTCTTGCATAAACAAAAGTACTTAAAAATTGGCTTAGTTATTATTGGTTGTGGTGATAAGATAACGCTGTTTTCTCGCCTTAATTTTCCGCGATAATTCTTCAAAGTCAGTTTATCAGGATTTTTTGGAAAGGTCAATTTTTTTGGATTTACAACTGCCGATTTGGATAATGCCGCTAAGCACTGTATGTGTTAGTGTAAGTATACAAATTGTTGATACGTAATTTAATACATTTGTTCACGCCTTTGTGAGTATCTATACAGTTAAGGGCGCCTAGCAATGCCGGATTTATATTTTTTTATTAGTGTATGCCACTTTATTTTCATCGTCCCATGTACCATTCTAAAATAATAATTTTCCATTTGTAGTAAGGAAGGCACTAAAGTTAAAGTTAAATAAACGAATGAATTAGTCATTAAGAAGGAACGTAAAAAAGAAACAAGAATTACAATTTTTTACGAGACTTTTTAATATCAAAATCATCTATAATATCATCATAGTTTATGTTATTTATTATCTCTGCTTCTATATAGAGAATAGCTAAAGAATTCATTTTTTCTTGAGACAATGAAGACCTTTGATAATTTTTCACGCGTTTTAAACAGGAAAAACTTCTTTCCCCAGCAAAATTTGTAGCCGGAATGAAAAGTGCAATGCGGAGAGTTATATCCAAGTTAAAATAAACATTAGACAGAAATTGATTCCTTAAAAACGCTGAGAGACAGTAGTGAGTTTGATTCAGGCTTCACTGCACACTCTGCAGTTTTATTTGAGAAATTGTGACTGTGAAAATCCACACATTCTTGAACCAAACCGTCGTAATATAGATAAAATAGGTACAATAACAATAAGATTGATATAATTTTAGATAGGAATGAGTTACTATAGGGATTTAACGTATTAGTATAAAAAAAACATGAGAAAATCAGTGAACTTTGACTGTTATCTCCTGAAATCGAGTGAGCGTCTTCTGAAATCTGCCACCCCTAGGACCTATTGACAAATCCAGGACTGCTCCTAGGTATAACACTATACTTCTTTTAAATGCACGTAGATCAAAACATTTTACAGCCTAACCTAACCAACCAGAAGCTTAACTATGGTTGCTAGACGTCACGCTGTTTGCGTATTTTTGATGCTTGTACGTTCAACGCCACATTACGAAAATGTCCCGCTTTTGAGAAAAATGCCACTCTTTTTATGCAAATGCCACGCTTGTTAATATTCAAAGTTGTACATTAAACGGGGGAATTGGATTTATAGGTGAAGACCTTGTTTTGAACCTCGTTTACGAAAAACACAAGCTAAGGGCCATCTTTTTTAGAAATTTCACAAATAATGGACCTGATTATATAAAAATGCTTGATATTTGAACCTGATGCTATGTCGTCATGGTTGTCACTCTTTTGACATTCGTAAATCTGGCAACCCTAGCGTAACTTAAAATTTGGACCACTTGCAAATCAATTTTGAGGCTCCCACCAATTGATCATTTTAAATATGTGCCACTGTTTAAACTTCCCCCAAGAAATTAACACATCATCAAAAAGTAGGCAAACGTTTACAGAACCACTTGTTCGATTTAGAAGTTCCTTTTTTTGAATGACAGGTTGTCTCTCTCTGGTGGGCTTTTTTTATAAAATTTGTATGATCCTGTAGAGTTTAACAGTTACATTATCAAGTTTACATTGAAATGCATGACTTTTTAGTTGGACTGTCTAACTAAAAAGTCGTACATTTCAAAATTAAAAAAGTCTGTCTTTTATGATTTGGCAAACACGCATTTCGGGAATTTTTGGAAATTTTTATTATTTATGAAGTAATTTATTAGCTAAGTATTTTATCTTCCAGGCAACATTGTTTAGTAAATAAAAAAAAAATGATACTAATAAATTAGGTCGTGAAAATCGTTGCCAAATGCTAATTGTTGTTCACTATTTGTCCAACAAAAATGTTCGTTTGTTTATCCTTCAAAAAAGAAAAGTAATATTGGACATCACACCGCTATAAAACCTTTTATTAATAATTTCAAAGTGACATTCGATTGTTCTCGATTTATCCACGCTTCGTACATCCGGTGCAACAACGTCGTAAGTGCAAAAATTTATTTTTACAAATGACCCATTTAAAAGTTTTGCTCGTCATAAATTGAAATGTATTAAAAGTCAAATGATTGAATAATTGCTCATTTATTGTATATGTTATATTTACCACATTGCTGTACCAGAAGTAGAAGCAGATTAGGCGTATTTTGTGACTAAAAAATTACTTTCTAATAAAGGGAAGTAAAAGACTCAAAGTCTGTCGACCACAAAAATTTATTCGGTTGGGTTGCAAGCGCTTTCGACCTAAAAGGTCATCATCAGGCAAAAATTTTTTGAAAGTGAGTAGGTAGGTAGGTACAATCTGCAATAATAATTTAGGATAACAAAACGTTTTTTTATAGAAATGCTAGGTGTCTTACCACTATGTGTCCACAGAAAAAATTAAATGTTGAATTAAAATTTTTTTTTTTAAATTAAAAAAAAAAAAAAAAAAATTAAAAAAAAAATTTAAAAAAAAAAAAATTTTAATTCAACATTTAATTTTTTCTGTGGACACATAGTGGTAAGACACCTAGCATTTCTATAAAAAAACGTTTTGTTATCCTAAATTATTATTGCAGATTGTACCTACCTACTCACTTTCAAAAAATTTTTGCCTGATGATGACCTTTTAGGTCGAAAGCGCTTGCAACCCAACCGAATAAATTTATGTGGTCGACAGACTTTGAGTCTTTTACTTCCCTTTAATCTACTTCGGACCACTTTGAGATATGGATAATATTTGGAATTTACTTTCTAATATTTATGCACTTATGACGTTGTTGCACCGGATGTGTCCACACCTCAGAACCGATATATTTAAAAATAAAAAAAATATTGATTATGTTCCTTAGGAACAACCTTAATACACTTAATTCAAATTAATTACGGGCATCATTTGTCCACCTCATTGTGTTGTTTCTGAGTACACAATTGTGCCAAAAGTAGAGCGCACACTTTGTAAATAAATTGCATAATGACACTTCAGTAGACAAAGTGTCACAATTTTATTTTATACTCATGTCTGCTCATGTCACACAGCTCAGACTGCATTGCTTTTTTACAAATTTTAACTGCATTGGGTAAATCCCAGCTCATTCAACACCTTCCATACCTTGTACTTCAAATCAGGGTATCTATTCTCGAATCTCAGGGAGTAAAAAATTTGAAAGAAGAATGAGACAGAAATACAAATTTTGTGCTTTGTAGATAAAGAAACAAAAATGGTTTTTTAATCCCTAGAATTCAAGAATAGCTTACCCAGAGATTAGGCTGCTTCCACCTCGGTTTGCACCACTATTTGAGACCGGTTATTTCGACTTATGACAGTTGACAGTTCAACGCACATAAGTGACAGTTGTCAGTTCTATGTCCTGGATAATTTAGTTTGACTAAATGTAAATAATGGATGGTCGTCTACTCATTATCTTCGTTCGTCCATCCACCGGACATTAGTTATTAATAAATAGAGAATTTAAAATATGAACAATTAAAAATATAAGTACTTCTAATAGTAATTTATTAAAACGAACTACTATCATCGTTTGTCCACACATTATTTTCATTTATTTAGGCCTTATTTTCGTTTGAGAAGTTCTGCATCATTAGAATTACCTGATATGAAAGCCAGTACGTCATCAACATAACGAAACCAGTGTAAAATGTTAAATTTATTATCATTGAAAATTGTGTTAACTTCTTATTCGTCCAAGAAAAGGTCAGCTAGTAAGGGGTTGTCCATTACTAAACCGTCTGATTTTCTGTTGTGTTATTAAATAAAGAGAAGTCTTGTGTAATGCAAAAATTTAATAGTGAAATGACATGATCAATTGTGTTGGTATTAGTATTTTTCTTGAGCAAAAGTTTTTTAATATGTATTGTTTCTAGTCTAAAAACATTAGTGAATAAATTACTTACATCAAAGAATACTGGTAGTAAATTAATGTTAGAGTTGTAATCTAATATTTTATTAACTAAGTCTAGGGAGTTTTTAAGTGTGAATTTAGGTCGATAATAAATTAAATCCCCATTCAATACCGATGAAAAAAAAAAAAAAAACTAACATACCACGATTGCACAATTCGATTTTGAATGAAATTATGAGAAACACTCTTCTGTATATTTTTAATTTCCAAACTTTCACTCCAATCTCCGTCGTGTATTATCGATGTACCTATAACGATCATTTAATTGTGTATCTAATACATAATTTGATAAATATCTCGTTTCGCCTTACATTACTGCAGACAAGGCGGTGATTAGATCTCATGAGAACTGTACGTTAGGTATCTATCTCATTTTGTTTCAACATGTAGAGATATTTTTCTATTTAGTCAGCAAACAATGCCCATCAAATGTACATATATCACGCTTGTTTTCATTAATTAGATATTACGCAACTACCGGTGGTGTTATAAAATATACCTTGTATGGAATCTGAGAGTAAAATCGTCACAATTCTTGGAAAATGACGTACCAGTAAGAGTAAAGTTTCCTTGCAAATCTCGATTATTCTATTATTATACTATACCATAAACATTACAAAGTAATGTTGGTATCAGATCTTGATAAATTTCAGTAGAGGTCATCATGGTTTTTCTGAAATATATCATTACTGCTCTTTGCTTGGCTAGTTCAATTTTTAGGAAAAAAATATTATGATACTTTAACCTATATTGTCAGTTAGTCAAAATTTCAGTCTGGCTATCACTACTGCAAATTTACATAAAGTAATGCGGCCTAATATAACCTAGAGAAAAGGAAAATTATTACATCGATTCTGGATGAAGTGACCATAAGAATAAAAGTTGGCAAAGGCCGCCCTCCCATGAGCAACCTTGGTAGATAATCTTCTTCAAAAACTGCCCACAAAAGGGTTCTGTATGTTTCAGATAGTCAGTGTAATAATATAAATAAGATAACTTACATACAGCGGCGGCTCCCACCAATATTTTGGAGGTTCACAATGACAAAATATAGATCGCAGTACAAATATAGCTAAAAAACTTTTAATAATTATAATATATCTTTCTAAAACACTGAAAATGTTTTACCTACATCTGACTGATATCTATATTCGTTAATTGTGAACCCTCCAATATTTTGGTCACCA